GGAGACCTAAGACACAGGGTATCCTAGTAATGATAGGTAATTCGATGATAACCAAGCTTAAATATTCTAAAAAAACCTATTTTATCACACATCCGTAACTGCAGATTTGAAGGTGAAAACATTCGCATCCGCCTCCGCATTAGGAGGTCTACATTCGTTCGCCGTCCGACATTCTTCTTTGGCAGTAATTGTTTCGGACGGATGTCGGACGGAAAACGAGAGAGAGTACGGGACCAGAAGACGTCGAGCTAGTAGCAGTACAGTTCCTTGTGAAAGAGTTCGTTCAGGGAAGTACTGTCACCTCACCTATTTCTGCCGCCAAGCAGTACTGTGAGCATTATTGCGTTCCTGTTATGAAGGGTAAGGGTGCTGGTGAAATTATAGGCACATGGTACTTGTCAACTTATGTTTCAGGCTGACTGGCGTAGTAGCATTGCCCGTCAGATCTTTGCTATTTAAATCTCTGAGTGGCACTGCAACTGTTACGGACAGGCGTGTCGCTTACCACCAGGCCCACGACTTATTCGTCTCTTATTTGGTTATATATAATCTTATAATAAAAAAATATAAAAATGTCGACATAATCCACATCCACGGCATCCGTAATTGCTACTAAAGATTCACAAATAAGTATACTTAACTTAGAAATTAAAGTTAATGAATATATGCCACCTGAGGAAATTGTCCCTACGACCTCTTAACTACGAAGTAATAGTTCTACTACTAGGTTTCATATACAAAATTTGATTTAATTTAATTTAGTGTCATTTTATTCGATTTTATATACATCAAACTGTCATTCAATAGATTCCGCAGACGGAAGACCGTCACGTGATCTTTGACTGGTGTAACACACGCGTGACACATAAATTATACGATCGCAGAGGTCAATGAATGCGATTTAGTAACAAGGAGTCAACGACTGTACGCATGAACGCCTGCTGTCTGCAAAATCCTTTGTAGCTTACAACACTTTAGGATATTTTATCTTTCCAGTAACTTTACATCATTATCATAAATATAAGAGCTTCTTTTCGGTCTAATGTATGCTCTCTCCAAATAATGATTAATTTTATTCTCCTCAGCCGTGCGCCTGATGGTAAGCGATACACTTGTTCATAATGCATCGGCTACGAAAATATCGCCACGCTTGAAGCGTCAGTTCTCTGAAAGCGTCAAAATGCACTCACGAAGTCTAGTAATTCGCTTACAGCGTCTTCGGTGGTGGGGGAAGTCAAGTAGAATTCTTTTTACATATAAAATTAGTTAATGTTGTTTAATATTTTTGGTAGAATATACTTTAAATATGTATTAATAATAATAATGCAAATTAATAACTATTTGCTTTCATTAGTAACCAAACAACAAATAAAAACAAAATAATTTGCTCCAAACATTGACGCGCGGAGCGACAGTTTCGTACACTTTATGAAACTTTCTCGTATAATGTTCTGGTTGCCCGCAAAAAATGCGTGTATAATCATATATTTGTAAGTGAGACTCGATCCTGACGCTTGTAGCAATAAGCGAAGTCGCTAGGAGTGTCGCGGCTCGTGGCCTTCGCGAAACAGTTGTAGTGCTGCTCAGAGCAGAAAAAAAACACAGGTTGGCAAGTTCCATGTGCTTATAATTTCACCAGAACCCTCACATTACTATTTGGCGTCAGAAATTAGTAAGATGGCAGTGCTTCCTTGGACGAACTCGTAGACAAGGAGCTCTACTGCTAACGTGTTTCTTCGGTAACAACTAATCAAAATCTATATGGTACATACATATACTTCACTTCACACCTTTTTCCCATCGGGGTAAGCAGACCCTGGGGGCCTACCATAACCTTTCTAAAAACAATCTTATTTCACTGTAAGCTTAAAGTAAGTTTATTATAATATTTCTCTTATTCGTATCATGACGAACCTGTCAACCAAGTAATGGATTATTGCAAACATGATTGAAAGAACGATGATTTCCCAATGTTGTCTATTCCTTAATAAAAATAGGAAAGAGATAACGCTATGTGAACTATTATAATGACATCTCTTTCTTTTTTGATGTTCCGAATTGTGTTATTGTACTATAATGTATAAGTACTTAATGTTATCTAAATTAAAAGAATCTTGACTGTTAAAAAAAGAAAAGTATGTAATAATAAAATCTATTAAAATCACGTTGTTTTCAATCATTATTATGCCGCATTTGAATGAAGAAAAATAAATAAAACAAGCTGAGTCTTGATGGTCACGTTGTGAATTCGGAGCTATAAGTCTAGAGTCAACTGTTAGTTTCGCCAAGGAGCATATAGATGGCGCTATCATAATTTTACGAAATAAACATCGCGTATATTTATTTAACGAGAAATTATTTCCTATGTTAAATAAAAAATAAACAAAATATTGAAGAGATATTTGTAAATAAATAAGTTCAATTTAACTTTTAATCATTACAAATCAACAATAAGACAATAATACTGAAAATAATATTGCGTCAATTGCATCCGTGTAACTATGTATTTTAAGATTGCTAAATTTGACATAAGGGCAATATTACTTTAATGTTAAAGTCGCGACATAGTACGAATTGAGTGAATGAATAGTCACAAAACTGCCAATAAAACATCATCGTTTTAACATTACAATAAGCTTACTTTAAGCGCGTTATGGTACGAAAAGTCAATGTAAGGTTAAAGTAATATTGTTTTAAGGGGTTGTGGTAGGCCCCCTGAAACACGTCTTTCGCCGCATAAACACGCGTCCGTGCTTTCATATTTGGTCGTCGGTTAAGGGTGTTCTTGACGTGGCCTTTCTTATGGACGTCCTTATTTGGTTGTAATCAGTTCGCCTTGGTTGGCCCTTATCAGTTTGCCCCCTCAACCTATGCAATATATGGACTTTGTCAAAGTAACAATTGTTAACGAATCCTAATTTAAAAAAATAGAGTAGTTGTTATGCTAAACGACTTGGAACCAATTTTTCTCTTTATCTGGTCAACACAGCTTTTTTACGTATTCCAATAGACTAGAGAACTTTAGAACTTTACAAATATTTTTTAATGGTTGTTGATTTTTAGAAAAATTTGGTTTAGTTTAACAAAGATAAGTATGGCGAGAATACCTACCAACAAATTATAATGTAAAAAATAAATTAAGTCGATTCGATATTTTTCTTTCCAAAAAATCATTTAATGAAAGAAAATTCTTATTATCACAAAATTTACAAAATATACAACTTGATAAACATTACAATTTGATCAAAAAAAATAGGACGTTAATTACATATCTGCACATTTATGTGGTCTGTGTCTGCATCAGTATGATCCGGTACGTGAACTTAAAATTTGGATTGTCAATATACTATTAAAGAAGTTGAAGCCAACGTAGTTTCAAAAAGTCTGTTTGAAAACGTAGCGGATGTTGTGCTAACACTGTGTCCTAATATTTTAACCTTTTTTGTAAAAACCCTTTGTTTGTAATATTATATGATTATCCCTTAAACTTCAATGGTTGACAAAAACAAGCAGCTGTGGGTGGCCGTTACGGGTCTCCGTTGATTGCACGCAAAAAGAACCCTTAATGGTATTATGCTAACTCGTCAACTTCGCTGATAATTGGTAAATGTTTTCTAGAATGTAAATGACATTTTCAAATGCAGAAAGATATTCTTCTGTAGTCAAACTTCTAGGGAAAGTACACAAAGCACTGCAATATGTCGCAAGCGATTTTATTGGCAGTTAAGTATGTGGATATATCTAGAGATTCGCTTAACCGAAATAGTTTAATGACATCAATAACATAACGGTTGGCGTTATGGGCGTTGGATATGGAGGTCCTGGGTTCGATTTCCAGTATAGGTACTGTCCTGGAGTGAATTCCGTTGCTCTGGTAGTCATAGTATAGGGAGTTCCGACAGCAGCAGTTGTCTGTTTACAACACTCTGACTTCATTTCTTTGAAGGGCTGCCGACGCCAGCTGCGATGAGTGTGTAGTCGCATTAACATGCATGAAATATAATTCCTTATATTCATTATACATATATACCTTTGTACCTGTTATGTAACATTTTGAGATAATTTGAATTTTAATAATTTCACAAATATAATGACGTTATTTATTCTGTTCAGGAATACAGTGACGCGTTTAACCTCCTAAGACCTAGCAAACTACAATGGGAAAAGCACTAAACGCCCAATGGGCATTAAAATGTATATATATACAAGTTCCAGACAATAGTTTTGAACGAAAAACGCATTTTTCTAGATACACTATGGTCATATATAGTGATAAGAGCTAAATTTGAATACGATATTTTTGTTATAATATACATTATTAAGTATTCGTTTTTTTATTGTGCAATGTTATTTAATATTCGAGTATTGTATCGTGAAATATTATTTAATAATTACAGGATAATAATATACTTGATTATTTAAATAATACAAACTGCCACGGAAATTAGCTAGTGAACACTAGTCCGAGAATGATCGATTTGTGATCTGGGTCTGTACTACTTCACATATTATGTACATTTTGATGTACACAGGGCCTTAGAAGGTTAAGGTGGCTCTTTTAACTATCAAAAATACGACGTTCTTTTTTTGAAACTCATTTTATAGTTCTTTGTACAGAAATTTTTCAATTCAGTAGCGAGTACAATAGACAGAAACAATTTTAAGGCAATTTAATTCAGAACTAGAAAGAGCGTCTTTGTGTTGTGATGTATGTATTTATAAATGACAGATCAATGTACAGGAGTAGAAAAAAGTGTATTGATTCTGTTCGTGATCCTGCGCTGTCTTTTGTTTATTGTGTACCTTTTTGTTTACCTATTCAAAAGCTTTAAAAATTCAACGATACAAAATTATGTCACGCGCAAAACTTTATCTAAAAGGAAAATATAATTTAAAATGATGTTATTACATTAATTTGTGTGCGTAATGTAAACAACAGATAATATATAAAATTTGCTCTTGTTTATGTGAACTCATTACGAAGTTGGTTTCTTGAGTTGATAGTTGGCGTTGTTGGGATACAGGCGCTGAAATATTTAAATAAATTCAAAATGATAAGCGCCGTGGTTGCCGTATTGTTCATATCGTTTTTGCTTGTGTATTTATACAAAGGTGCATATAGCAGACCTAAGAACTTTCCCCCTGGTAAGATTAAACTTTTGTAAGAAGAATATAGCTTAAGTTTGAAGGTGAAATTGGTTATTAAACTCCATCTGGGAGAAATATTGTTTAAAATGAAAAAAGTGCACGCTTACGTTCCAAGCCTTATGTAACTGAGTTAAATCTCTGGACAATTAGCGACATTTTTTGTTAAAAAAATACGTAATTCTGTTTATTAATTTTACTTTTGTGTATTTTCCTGTGTCACCATAATCGAGTATTAGAAATTTGTTCACCTGTTCGTGATTTCGCCGGCTTCAATCACAAGAAAATGGATTTAATCCGTATGCCATTTTTGTATAAATAACCTTATTCAGGGGGCATCAGTCTTTAATCTCGAGAACCGTACTTAATTTAGATCTGATTACATTGAATAGTCTAATCTATCTTCTAAACTTGAATTCTTGAATTTTACGACTAGAACAAGTGTAAAACATAATTGTTTCTTTGTGCAATCAGATTTTAGCTTGGGGTTGTTGTTCTCGAGGTTGAAGAATGGTGCTGCCGCAATAAGGTTATCTCAGCGTGGACAGTAAAACCATAGTATAATAAGACAAGTATGATAACTTCATACAAATGTAACAGCACGGCTTGTATGCGCGCGCCGTGTCCAGACGCACACATTTGCATAATTTCGCGTAGTGTTGTTGCGAATGTCAGCATCCTTAACCACATCCGCGGATAATCTGCATAAATTAAAATATCTGCATCAACATCGGTATCCGTATTCATCGATGCTGATATTCATTGCGGATGCTTGAGTCGTAATATGACCTAAAAGGCACGATGGAATGATTTACAAACCTTCCAGAAATAGACTGTAAGCCGAAAAAGCAGCTCAGCTGTTGTTTTTAACACAATATAAGTTTCGAGTTCTTAGGTTTTCGCGATTGTTACACATAGGAAATGAAACTATTTTTCCGGATTTCAATGCGTATATTTGTTTTTTCAAACAAACCGACGTCTATTTGTTTGAAAAAACAAATATACGCGATTTAAATCCGGAAAAGTAGTGTCATTTCCTAAATATAAGGTTCATCTAATTCCCCAACGATTACGCTAGGCCGATTGATTGTTTTCATGAAGATTGATTCTTTTGTTAATATGTGTTACAAAATCATTGAAATAATATTTTATTACAATACCAAAGAAAATAGAAAACTTTTTCAGAAAGACAGCTTCAGTAAGGACGCACATTTCTCGCGGTTTTTTAAATACCTAAAATTTGCTTCGGCTGATGTGTAAAAAACCTACATCAGCAACAACGCTGAAAGTGCACTGGCATTGCTTATCAAGGGTCATCACACGTGTATATTTATTATAGAAATGAAGCGGTCTCTCGGTGTTTCAAAAATGACATCAATAGTAGACGTATTTATTGTAGTTTGAACAAGAATGCCTTAAATTAAAAATTGTTTAGCAAATCATCTCTATTTCATAATCATCAGTTTTCGGAATTGAGGAAGTTCAACTACATAAAGGATGAACGTTTCTTTAGTATGTATATACCCACTTCGTCAAAAATGTATATAAAATTCCATTTCTTTGCTGTTTATTTCCTAAACAGTCCAAAGTATAGGTTGTCTCAGGTAAATTTTTTAACTGGCTTAAATATTCAGTACCTGTACAAACACAATTACAATATTATTTTTTGAGGCCATAATTTGTAACAAATACTTAATAGGAAATAATAATTTGTCGCCAATGTATCCAAATTCCCATAAATAATACTCTTATTCAAATTTATTTCCTAACATTGGAAGTCCCAGGATTTTTTGAATGTCCACGTTCTTCTTTAGTTTAGCAAAATTAACTCCCGTAATTCCGTTCACTGATAATCATACACCATAATCAATATACCAATCCACGATACTGGTATCAAAATATCAATACGTACCTACGGTATTTAACAAGGGTTATTTCATTATTGCACGAGAATAGGGTGATGACCACCTTAGAATTTGTAGGCACAACTAGAATAATAATGTGACAACCCTACGCTCCGAGCGATGTGTTTTGCGAGGCGAATGAGGCATTTACTCGCCGAACAACGTAAGTAGGGCACTACTTAATCTCGTTATACTATGGTAAAACATTCAAGCACAGTTACGGTTATTCTCAGACAAGTGTTCACTACCTAATTTCCGTGGCCATTTTAGTTATTTCAGTATTAAATTTTTTTATCATGCAATATTTAATATTCGAATATTACATTGTGAAATATTATTTAATAATTACATGATAATATACTTGAATATTTAAATAATAAAAAAGCCACGAAAATTAGGTAGTGAACACTAGTCCGAAAATGACCGTTTAAACGGTGTTTCAATTAAATCTAGGCTTTTGCAACTAGAACGGATTCAATAACGAAAGTTCTTAGTGCATTCAAATCCAAGATCGTTCGGAACAATCGTTCGAATAAGGCATCGAGTATATAACCAGAAATAGAGACGAAATAAGGGCCATCCACCCCTGGTAACTCATCAGTGATACACCACTTATAAATATCAACTCTCGTTTGCACTGAAATTACAAATTAGAAAGCTGAAATAGTGCAGCGCCAACAACTGACCTGTGTGTACGTCTCCGTATGTTCCAAAAATATTCTGTATTTATTGTAATAAAAATAATATCTCTAACAATGGCGTGCTGTTCTATTGGGTGGTGTGGGCAAAAACAGCAAAACATGTAATTACAAAACAAACGGAATTTTCTGAGTGTTCGATCTTTGAATTAATTGTTAAAACGGAATCAAATTTCATCGGTAATTAAATATTAAATATGTAATTTTGCAATTTTCGTCCATTATAGCAATGCTCAAGTTAACTGGTCGATTTGAAGTGAAACAATTGACGACACTCATCAATTGTTTCGAATTCGGGCTGGCCAATCGGAGCGCAGTTGTCACAGTAATGATATGACAGAATAGTTTTCAAACAAATCAAATAACATTTTGTCTCTATTTCTGGTTATATACTCGATGGAATAAGGTTACTAAAACACAACTGTGATTTTAAATGAATGGACCGCTTAAATTTGTAAAAAAGCAAATTAATCACAACGTTAGTCGAATTTTGAATACTTAATTATGGCGTCAAATAAAAAAGCCGCGGTAGCCAAAAATTTAAACTACCGCTTCTCAAGCAAAGGCCGTGTTCGAATCCGGATCCGCACCTCTGAGTTTTTCGTTTATGTGGGAAACATTGACTTACAATTTATTTGTAAGTCAATGGTGGGATATTTAATTTGAAGTTTACTATGAGTTTTGAGTGTAGGAAGATATCTTGATGAAACCTGTACGTCGAAGAAGGTTCACAACCCGGTTCCAAAGTCTATCACGTGGTCTGAGAAGAGACCCGTGCCCAGCAGTGGGATATTATATATATTTTTTTATAGCCCCGCATTAGGGAAACCTTGTATCGCGAGTGTTATGGACACACATATAGACAACCACAAATTACACCCAAACTCACGAGAGAATTAAATGTAGGTCTTACAAATATTTCTCCCGACCGTCCGAAAATCGAACCCGGGACCTTTGCGTGGCAGACCAGCACGGTAACCGATCGGCCGCGGGAGCAGTTAAAAGTTTAAATTTGGTATTTATGGTTTAAATTTCAATTAAGATGTCCATGAATTTACTACGCGTTTTACTTTTGAAATTTTCAAACGTCACATTTAAGTATTGGTTGAAAAACGGTGAAACCACTTAGTAAAAGTACAATACGTTACTTAATTACTTATTAAATACAGTTATCTTAAATCAACAGTGCTAATTTAACAACTACCGCACAAATTGTAATGAATCTTAGATAATTTTATTATACGTTCGTAAATTAGTGGGTAATATGCTCACATTGTGGCGAGGAAATTGATAAGACTCTATCTAGGTCATAATACGGAATTGCAGAGGCAGAAGCTATATATCTAGTATAAACAAGGGATGAAAGTTCAATATGATATATCATTGCCAACTTCGATGTATATTGCCTTTCGCTATTCGTAGTGCCAGTTTGCAGATAAATGTGTTATTTCATATTATATTTTATAATAGCTCGAAAAAGTTTTCTTTCTCATTAGAAATCTGCGCGCAAAAGCGTTCTTTGCACGCTAGCATGGAAAAGGTTTTTGAAATACGAACTTGACGATGGATTATGGTGCACCGTCTGTGGGTGCACCTAACTTTTTCTTTCGATGAAAAAAAAAAGATAATGAATGACACGTTCAACTACGCGTTTTGTCGTACATTACTTATTATTGGTACATTTTATTCTTATTATTGTTGACATTAAATTGACAATGATAACTAATTGTGTTTATTAACATATTTTGATTCGTCGAAGAACTACCCGTAAAATAATTTCAATAATCACTTAATTATAAGTACAAGCAAGGATAAAAATTTATGAAGTGCTAATTCAGAACGCATCCGATGGTAAACTTTTTCTTTTGATAAAAAAAACTGATTTTTTATAGTTCAACTGTTTTTTTTCAGCTACCATTTTCCTCGCTATCGTTAGGTGAAAAAGTGTGTGTTTCGCTCGGCAGCAAAGTTGTTTTGCGCCTCGTGCCTTGAAACCCTCGCTACCACAGACCACATCTCGCTACGCTCAGGACTTTATTTTTAAGCCACGAGCGAAGCGAGTCTTAGCTTCCTTCGCTTGCTCAGCTTTCAATACAAGCACTTGCGGTAAACAACAACTTTGCAGCCTTGCATAACAAATTACTATTTATGAAAACACAGGTCGCATAGAAGTTGACATGTAACAAAATATATTGTAGTAAGTTTAGTTTCACTGTGTTCGGTCAAACATCTTGTAGATATATTGTATGATATACACAACAACATTTACTCATATTATTATGCACCTTGACAGACTAAATTAGATGTAACATGTCAGTCAGTAATTTAAACGCGGCGATAATTATGTCGGTCAATTTTAATGATATTATTTGAAAAATGTAGCTGGTTGTCACAATGATAATTATAATTTGAATAACGTCAAAGTAAATATACGCAAAGGTGAGAAATTAGACAACGAAGTTAGGACTTTGTTGTTTAAAAATTAGGACACTCTACAGTAGGTACCTACATATTTATTTGATTGCTTTTCAAACAGCATAAGATATTTTCCAACCCCAGTACTTTCGGTAAAGAAATTTGTAAATTTTTGGCGCTGTTACAAAGGCATGAAGGTAATTTTACAAGCTTTATTATACGACGGTTTCGTAGGCGTAAATAAAGGAACAGTTAGTCGAAAATTATGAAAATATGTTTTTGCAGCTACCGGTTCTTTTCAGTCGACAAAATATTCTGACATATCTTTTTTGTGAACTAAGTTCACATTAATTGTGTTCTTCATAAAATATGACATTCTAGTTGGTGCGTGTCTGGTCGTCTGCGTAGAATAAGTAGCCTCACTCATCCCTTATTTTACCTTGAGGGGTAATTGGTTGCAAACGCTGAAACATTCTTTATTTCTTACAAAAGACATAAATACGAATTTTCAGATTCACTTGAGAAATGATTGGTTCTCCTAACAAAGTGTCGTTCCGTAATTCTTTATTTAAGATTTATTTTTGAGCCAAAAAGTAGCTATGTTCTTCTCCTACGTCCTATCTATTTCTATACTAAAATTCACCAAATGTGGTACAGCGATTTAGGCGTGAAAATGTAACAAAGTCATAGCGTTTGCTTACGTCCGATTCGTATCAGGGGGTCTACTCTCGATCTTCGTCCGAAAACCATCCGAAATAATTACTGCCAAATAAGCAATACTTGACCAAATGAAAAGACGCGAGATGCGAATGAAGCTTCATACTGGATACTGGTCTTTTAATTTTGTCGAATATTACTTATTTGACCGTAATTGTTCCGGACGGAGGTCGAGAGTAGCCCTCCAGTTCCGGATCTGAGAAATGACGGTCCGAAATGTCACAGGGATTATTTTATCTCTAGGTGTACAAGCGATATTCGTATTTTGTCGGATTCGAATGGACTTAGTGCACAAGCGACACCCGAAATGGGTCTGAGTTTTCTAGATTTCTATAGTCGCGGATTCGGAACGATAACAAATCGCATGCAGCGCGAAAAAGCGCTTACTTTCGCATTTTTAATATTTTTTTATTTTTTTATTTTTTAACATTTTTTTATTTCATAAAGATTTAACCTTGATAGATCACACAAACAACCGCACATTCGAATTTGGTTTATCAGCTCTTTTCTAAGATGAGACACTGAAACTTTTAAAACGATTTCATGATTAATTCCAGGTCCACCAAGACTACCGTACTATGGTTCTTATTACTATATCCGTGCTTTGGACTTCAACAACTTGGCCAACTCTTTTACAAAGCTAGGCCAAATCTACAAGACGAAGATCGTCGGGTGCTACTTGGCCTCCTTTCCAACCGTGGTCGTCAATGATTCCGATCTTATCAAGGAGATGCTCTATAATGAAGAATGTGATGGCAGAATGGACGTTATTTTGTTCAGATTGCGCTCTTACTGGAAGAAATTAGGTAAGTTTT